GACTGGTGTGGGTCGCATCCTGGGGGACAAGATTAAGGACCCCAATGGAAATAAGTTAGAGTCCTCGATGATGCACTGACTTTCTCGGGTTATCCTGGGTGGTTAACCCTCTGGGGTTAATTGTTTCTCGGTAATTGTTTCTCGTTAAGCGACACCAAAAACACTCTCTCCACATCTTTGAGTAGTACAGCTGACGGTGGTGGAGCAACAGCTGACAGTGGTGCAGCAGCAGCAACAGCTGACTGTGGTGCAGCAGCAGCTGACCATGGTACAGCAGCAGCTGACGGTGGTGCAGCAGCAGCTGACGGTGGTGCAGCAGCAGCTGACGGTGGTGCAGCAGCAGCTGACAGTGGTGCAGCAGCAGCTGATGGTGGTGCAGCAGCAGCTGACCATGGTACAGCAGCAGCTGACGGTGGTGCAGCAGCAGCTGACCATGGTACAGCAGCAGCTGACGGTGGTGCAGCAGCAGCTGACAGTGGTGCAGCAGCAGCTGACTGTGGTACAATAGTATTTTGATAGTATTTCTCACTCTTTTTATCACAGGTTTGGCACTAGAAGCTTTCTTTGATCCCATGGTGGCTTATTTAACAGTTACAAGCACTAAAAACAATGGAATAATACAAAATTTATCAAATATATGCGTGGAACCGTCCACCCTGGCTTGTAAACAATGACGGCAGGGCAGCTGAGGCACTCAGGCTGGACGGACAGGTTTGGGATGAATCATGTTGGTTGAGTTTTTCATCGGTGGTTGGGCCAAAATATTTACGCTCAAACTCTTTGTTGGATGAATTCATTTATTTATTTATTTATTTATTATTAATTTGGACATGATACATAGAAGTACAAAGAAATACAGTGGTTAAGTGTAACATGCCAAAAGCCCCTTGTATGCAGAGCATTATGGGCAGGTTTAAAATTAACTTAAGATTAACTAAGCAATGAATTATTCAATGGTAAAAATTATAGTAAAAAAATAACAATTAAGCACAAATGAGTATTTCAAAGACAGGTCATTTGGTCATTTAGTGAGTTGCTGTGCATTCAGTAGAATGGAGTATTCTGTTAGGTAACGTAATTAAAAGAAAAACAAAGTTTGATAGGGTCACAGGTTAAACATTTATGGGATACAATTATTCAGTATTTATTTAGTTGTGGGTGAGTAAGTGATTTTTAAGAAGAGACTTGAATTTATAAACAGACAGTGTTTCTTTTATATTCACAGGTAATGAATTCTAGATTTTTGGGCCTTTTATGTGCATTGAGTTTCTGCATAGTGTGAGATGGACACGAGGAACATCAAAGAGTGATCTGTGCCTTGTGTTATGGTCATGTGTTCTGTTGAGGTTGGTAAGGAGACATTTGAGGGGAGGGTTTATATCCGAGTTAAGTGTTCTATGTATGTAGTAGGTACAATAATAAATGTGGATGTTTTGTACGGTGAGTAGGTTTAGATTTTTGAATATTGGTGGAGTGTGCTGCCTGTAGTGGGAATTTGTTATCATTCTGACTGCAGCCTTTTGTTGGGTAATTAACTCTTTCAGGGTCCAGAGGCCAAATTTCAAAGTGTGCACCAGTGTCCAAGAATTTTCAAAAAATAATTTTGTTATTTTTTCTTATGAAATGGTAGAGAATCTTTTTCTCAAGGTAATAAAAAAAAAAGTACGAAATTTGGTGGAAAATTGACGAAATTATGCTCTCGCGAATTTTGATGTGTCAGCGATATTTACGCATTGGCGATTTTGCAGACTTTGACTAACATTTTAGGCCAATTACCTTATTCCAGTTGACCAAATTCTTAGCTATTTCACTAGTATTACTTCTATTCAATCGACTGAGCACAAGAAATCGCCAACTCAACTGCTTCAACTACAAAATAAAGTGATTGGAAATTGGTAATTTGGCCAATTTAATGCAAAGTTCAAAATACTCCAATTTCAAAATAGGGTCCAGAATAAACAATGCAGGCATTCCTGGCACTAAACTAACATTTCCTCTGTTCATTAGTTACATTTTCAGGCTTTACTAATTAATTCCATTTTGATTTTTAATTCACATAATGAATTTTTATTCAAACGAAAAAATAGATTTACTGTAATGCAATATTGTAATAATTGTATAAATAATATCAGCACATTTGTGAACATATATTAGACCCACCAGCTGGCGTGTATTAGACGTGTGAAGTCATTTGTTTACTCTTGAACATCGGTAAAAATTTAACATTTCCGCTCAATTTCAAGCCATTTTCAGTACTAAAACCAATCAAAATCATCTCTATTTCTGTAACATATCTTCCATTCTATCAAATGAGACCAAGAAATTGCAAATACAACTATAAAAAACATATGAAAAAACACTGCAAAGTTGCTGTTTTAATCGAAAATTACGGTCTCAGTTTTTTCTCTTATTATGCACTGTGCTCCAGGATTTGTTTTATGTGGTGCACACATACCACATAGATGTATTCTCTCATATCTAAGCCCAAATTTACCAATCACAGCTTATCAGAGAGAGCTGAGCTCACGGTTTGGACCCTCAACTCAAAGCCGTTGATCTACGGCACGGACCCTGAAAGGGTTAATGGTCTGAGATGGTTTATTGTTGTTGAGCCCCATGCACAAATTCCATAGGTGAGATAGGGGTAAATAAGTGAGTGATATAGAGCCAGGAGGGCTGACTGTGGAACATAGTACCGCATCTTTGATAGTATGCCTACGATCTTGGAAATTTGTTGTACATGTGTTTGAAATTTGAGTCCATTATCAAGGTGGATTCCTAAGAATTTTCCCTCTGTGAGCTTTGTGATAGGAGATCCGTTTATCATTATGATAAGAGGGACATCTGTAGCTCTGTTTCCAAACTGAATGAAGTAGGTTTTGTCAATGTTGAGAGTAAGTTTGTTAGTCATCATCCAGGTAGATATTTTCTGTAATTCGGTATTCACAGTATTGGCTAGCATGACTGGGCTTGAGTGAGAGAAGACATATGTAGTGTCATCTGCAAATAGTGTGGGTTTGAGTAGTTACGATGCATTTGGTAGGTCATTTATGTAAACGAGAAAGAGAAGAGGGCCAAGAACACTTCCCTGTGGGACACCAACTGTAACTGGCTGTGCAGAAGAGTTTGCTTCATTTGTGTACACATATTGGCTTCTGTTGCTGAGGTATGACTTTAGGTAGTTGAGGGAGTGCCCTCTTATACCATAGTGCGACAATTTTATGTGGAGCAAATCATGGTCAACTGTATCAAAAGCATTACGTAAATCAATGAAGATCCCCAGTGGGACTTCTTTTTTCTCTAGTGCAATGTATATTTGTTCTAGCATGTGTATAATAGCATCATTCGTATTTTTATTAGGCCTGAACCCAAACTGACAAGGGTTGAGTATGTTGTGGGAGATGAGGTAGGAATAGATTCGCTTATGAATTAATTTTTCAAAGATTTTAGAGAGAGGGTGTAAGTTGGATATTGGCCTATAGTTATTCAAGTCTGTTTGGTCTCCTCCTTTATGGATCGGGGTGACCCTCGCTATTTTGAAAACTGTAGGGAAGGTATAGGATTCGATGGATTTGTTAAAGAGTGTTGCAATGATTGGTGACTGCACTTGCAACGCTTTTTTGTTTATAAAGGGTGGTAAGGTATTTAAATCTCCTGTCTTGTTTTTTAGTGTGTTGATAATAAGGGAGACTTCTGTTAGTCGGAGCTAGGAACAGTGTGTTTGGGTAGTTGCCAGTGAGGTAGTCATTGGGTGGGGTATTTGAGCTTGGGATTTTATTGGATTTTTATTGCTGTTTCAGTTGGTGGGAGTTGGGGTTCATCTGGTTTTGTTAGTTCAATTGCTCTATTTCGTGATATCTTTTTTGTTCCTAGAATTTCTGATAGGGTTTTCCAGGTCTTTTTTATATCACCTTTTATCGTTAGACAATGCCTTCGTTGGCCGAGGGTCCACTGTACATGTAAAAAAATTTAATATAGAATCAATAAGAATAAATCAAATTAGAATGCAGAGCATCCTATGGTCCTTTAAGACAGCCTTATAACCAACTGTAACACCATATTCTTTAATGATACTCTCAATAATTTACCGATAGAAGTCAAAAAAATTTAAACCTAACAAACTAACAGCACAGTGCTAAATAATTATCATCAATGTCACTTGTTTTTTATTAACATGCTGGCTGTCTCCCAACAAGGCAAGGTGATGCAAAACAGAAACACTTTCACCCCTATTCACACTATCACTGTATTGCCAGCTCACAGATATAACAGTTTAAATGTCCCTCTAAACAGCAAATATTCTAAGCCCCTCCTTTAAAGTGCAGGCATTGTACTTCCTAACTCCAGGAAAGTTTCGCTTACCAGTTTCTCTGAATCCTTTCACAAAATATTGCCTTGTTCACCCTCAAACAGCTCATCAAGTCACAAAAAACCATATGCCTCTACTCACTCCTATTTAACAATCTCGCACATGCCTGTTGTATGTGAATGTTGTTGTCATTATTATTGTTTTGTTAACACAACAGCTGCCTCCCACCAAGATAGGGTGATGCAGAAAAGAGGAAACACATTCACCATCATTCAGTTGCCTTGCAGAAGCATGTTGACATCACAGTTCACATTATTATTATTATTATTATTATTATTATTATTATTATTATTATTATTATTATTATTATTATTATTATTGCTGTTGTTGTTTTTAAGATGCAAGGTAATATTTATGAAGGGATGCAAGGTAATATTTATGAAGGGATTCAAGGAAACTGGATAGCTATACTTGAAACCTGGAGGTGGGAAGTACAGTACCTGTACTCTGAAGGATGGGTGGGGATACTGTAGTTTAGAGGGGCATCTGAGCCATAATGTGGGAGTGCCTCTGGCAAGACAGTGATGGAGTGAGTGATGGCAAAAGCATTTCTTCTTTATCAGGTCACCCTACCTCGATGAGAGACATCTAGTGCATCAAAAAAAAAGATGAGAGGCAAACCATAAATTACCTGCTGAAGATCTAGGTAGACAAGAGGTGGCAAGTGAGGGTGACTCACTCAGAGGGGTATGGCCACTTGACTGATAGGGTGATGAGCATGGGGTTACCAAGGCAGACTCGCCCCCACTGTACGTCAGCCCTGGAGAGGACAAGGCTGACACGCCCACAGGTATTTTGACGTTACTTCCACCAGTGCTGACTGGAGTACCTGGCAAGCAATGAATAACACTCTCATAGCCATAATTACATGACTGTATTAAGAAAAAATGGCTAAACCCATGTTGGCCATACAGCAAATAAGTGTTTATTATTATTCTTTTTTATTAACACATTGGCCATTTCTCACCAGGTAGCCCAAAAAAGAAAAACTTTCATCATCATTTATTCCATCACTGTCTTGCCAGAGGCACACTTACATTAGTATTAAAACTGCAACATTAACACCCCTCCTTTAGAGTGCAGGCATCATACTTCCCACTCTCCAGGACTCAAGTCCGACCTGCCGGTTTCTATGAATCCTTTCGTAAATGTTACCTTGCAAACCTTGTTAACATGTTGGCCATCATTCACACTATCACTGACTTGCCAGAGGCACACAGATATGACAGTTTAGATGTCAGTCTAAATAACAAATATCCCAAACCCTTACAGTGCAGCATTGTATTTTCCCATAGGGGTCATACAACACCTTGGGAAATAAAAGGCATTCAGGCTCTACTCAAGAGACTGCAGCACCAATCCAATTCCATAGATCAAGAGACCCTCACCAGCATCACAGAACCTCCTCTGAGGGGTTGAGACAAAGACGACAATAACACACAATAGACATCACACAGCCTATGACAACACACAATTAACCTCAAAGTGCAGACAAGCAGTGTGCCTTACTAGGACGGGAAAGTTTTGCCGGAGAGGGCGGTGCCGAGCCATCCAGGGAGCAGCCCGTGGAAGCCTTCCTCTTCCTTATGTTCTCCTTGCGCTGGGACTTGGGAGGCAGAGGGTTGGTGAAGGACGGTGAGAAGGAGGCGTGAGGGTAGACGGATGAGGACGACACGTGCTGGCTCTGGGAGGGATGGGTGGAATATGACGAGTTTACACCTCCTCCACTGCTCTCACTCAACAAGTGACTCAAGAAGTCTCCAATCTCATCCTAAAACATAATATACGTGGGAATAATAATAATAGTAATAGATGGGGTTGTAAAAGAAGTAAATGCTAGGGTGTTGGGGAGAGGGGTAGGATTAAATTATGGGGAATCAAATACAAAATGGGAGTTGACACAGCTACTTTTTGCTGATGATACTGTGTTTATGGGAGATGCTAAAGAAAAATTGCAAAGGTTAGTGGACGAGTCTGGGAGGGTGTGTAAAGGTAGAAAGTTGAAAGTGAACATAGATAAGAGTAAGGTGATGAGGGTATCAAATGATTTAGATAAAGAAAAATTGGGTGTCACATTGGAGAGAGGGAATATGGAAGAAGTGAATGTTTTCAGATATTTGGGAGTTGACATGTCAGCGGATGGGTTTATGGAGGATGGGGTTAACCATAGAATTGATGAAGGAAAAAAGGCGAGTGGTGCGCTGAGGTATATCTTTCTTTCTTTCAATGCACCAGCTGTATCCCACTGAGGTGGGGTGGCCCAAAAGGAAAAACAAAAGTTTCTCCTTTTAAATTTAGTAATACATACAGGAGAAGAGGTTACTAGCCCCTTGCTCCCGGCATTTTAGTCGCCTCTTACGACACGCATAGCTTACGGAGGAAGAATTCTGTTCCACTTCCCCATGGAGGTTGAGGTATATGTGGAGACAAAAAACGTTATCTATGGACGCAAAGAAGGGAATGTATGAAAGTATAGTGGTACCAACTCTTTTATATGGGTGTGTAACTTGGGTTGTAAATGCTGCAGCAAGGATGTGGTTAGAGGCAATGGAGGTGTCCTAAGGGCAATGTGTGGCATAAATATTATGCAGAAAATTTGGAGTGTGGAAATTAGGAGAAGGTGTGGAGGGCTGAAGAGAGGTTGTTGAGGTGGTGTGGTCATTGAGAGAGAATGGATCGAAGTAGAATGACTTGGAGAGTGTATAAATCTGTAGGGGAAGGAAGGCGAGGTAGGGGTCATCCTCAAAAACATTGGAGGAAGGGGGTAATGGAGGTTTTGTGGGCGAGGGGCTTGGACTTCCAGCAAGCATGCGTGAGCGTGTTAGATAGGAGTGAATGGAGAAGAATGGTTTTTGGGATATGACGAGCTGTTGGAGTGTGAGCAGGGTAATATTTAGTGAAGGGATTCAGTTTGGAGGGATATGTTGTGTATCTTTATATGTGTATGCTTCTAAACTGTTGTATTCTGAGCACCTCTGCAAAAACAGTGATAATGTGCGAGTGTGGTGAAAGTGTTGAATGATGAAAGTATTTTCTTTTTGGGGATTTTCTTTCTTTTTTGGGTCACCCTGCCTCGGTGGGAGACGGCCGACTCGTTGAAAAAAAAAAAAAAAAAAAAATCAGGGAAACGGGTTATTTTTATATAGCTAGACTTGAGTACTGGAAATGGGAAGTACAATGCCTGCTTTTTAAAGGAGGGGTTTGGGATACTGGCAGTTTTGAGGGATATGTTATACATCTTTACATAAATGCTTCTAAACTGTTGTATCTGGGCACCGCTGCAAAAACAGTGATTATGTATGAGTGAGGTGAAAGTGTTGAATGATGATGAAAGTATTTTCTTTTTGGGGATTTTCTTCCTTTTTGGGTCACCCTGCCTAGGTGGGAGATGACCGACGTGTTGAAAAAACTATTACAAACATCCTATTCCACACACAGGTGAAAATTCTGCCATGATTAGCCTTCTCTAATTATAAGAAATGAGATTTATAATTACAAATGTATCCATCAAGGAAACCTGCTTACCACAATGCATCTATCAACCATCGACTGTGTGACACCTTCTAAATGGCGTTTCTGGCAGGACAAGCGAAGGTGAGAGTCGGCTCCTCCCACAACCACCAAGCCAGTTTCTGCACGCAAATGTACACGCAGGTCCTCCACATCGTCAATACTGAAGGAAAATGCACAAACAGGTGAAAAACAAAAACTCCATATGCAATTCTGGCAAGACAGTTATTGAAAGAATAATGGAAAATAAGATTTTTCTTTGGGTATCTCTATCTTGGTGAGAAAGAGCCACTATGGTAAAAAAAAAAATCATCATCGATCACTGTTAATATTTATGGCTGTAGAAAATCTGTCATATTTTATTGTTAGCAATAGAACCAACCAGGTTGTTGCTGCTAGTGGGCTGCAGCCATCACAACCTGGTTGAACTGGTAGTTTTAACAAGTAGATGAACCAATTTGCTCTTAAAAATTCTTGCATAGTAATGATTTACAAAGCATCTAAACAGTCTCGTATGTCACAGCTTTTAACCCATTCAGGGTCGAGAGGCCCTCTCGTAAACTTGTTCTCAGGGTCAAAAAATTTTTGAAAACAAAAAAAAAAAAAAAAAAAAAATTCTTATGAAATGACAGAGAATCTTTTCCCTATCATAATGACACCCAAAGTATGAAATTTGATGGAAAACTTACGGAATTATGCTCTCGCAAAGTTAGAGCCCACTTTGAGCTCTATTTTTGGCCAATTCCTGTGTACTAGTCGATAAAAATCATATTTATTTCGCTAGAACTCCATTTTTTCTATCGAATGAGTACAAGAAACTACCCATTTACCAATTTCAACTATCCAATAAAGTGGTTAGAAATTGGCAATTCTGCCAATTTCACACAAATTTCAGAAGATGCCAATTTACGAATAGGGTCCAGAATAAACAAGAAAGACATTCCTGGCACTAAAATAACAAGTTCTCAGTTCGTTAGTCACATCCCCAGGCCCCTCAAAGTGGGTGAAATTGCCAATGGGTGAACATCATCGAGACCGCTAACTTCACGAGAGCATAATTCCGTAAGTTTCCCATCAAATTTCATACTTTTGGTGTCATTATGATCGGGAGAAGATTCTCTATCATTTCATAAGAAAAATAATTTTTTTTCCGAAAAATTTTCGACCCTGAGAACAAGTTTAGGAGAGGGCTTCTCGACCCTGAGAAGGTTAATAATCTATTACTATCAACACCGGTTGGCCATTATAACAAAAAAATTATTGCTAAATAACAGCTGTCAAATACAATATATAGGTATATCTTGCTTTTTATACTTAGGTCACACTAGACATGCATGTATATGTATACACACCCATCCGAGTTTTCTTCTATTTTCTTAATAGTTCTTGTTCTTATTTACCTCTTTTCATCTCAATGAGGAAGTGGAAAATTCTTCCTCTGTAAGCCATGCATGTCATAAGAGGCAACTAAAATGCCGAGAGCAAGAGGCTAGTAACTCCTTCTCCTGTATACATTACTAAATTTAACCCTTTCAGGGTCCGTCCCGTAGATCTACGGCTTTACGTTCAGGGTCCAAACCGTAGATCTACGCCATGAGCTCAGCTCACTCTGATAAACTGTGAGTGGTACATTTGGGCCTAGATATGAGAGAATACATCTATGTGGTATGTGTGCACCACATAAAACAAATCCTGCAGCACACTGTGTATAATGAGAGAAAAAAAATGAAATCATGATTTTTCGATTAAAACAGCAACTTTGCAGTGTTTTTTCGTATGTTTTTTATAGTTGTATTTGCGATTTCTTGGTCTCATTTGATAGAATGGAAGACATATTACAGAAATAGAGATGATTTTGATTGGTTTTAGCACTAGAAATGGCTTGAAACTGAGCTCAAAGTAGCAGAAATGTTAAATTTTTGCCGATATTCAAGAGTAAACAAACGACCTCACACGTCTAATACACATCAGCTGGTGGGTCTAATATACATTCACAAATATGGTGATGATATTTATACAATTATTACAGTATTGCATAACAGTAAATCTTCTATTTTTTGGTGTGAATAAAAATTCATTATGTGAATAAAAAATCAAAATGGAATTTATTTGTAAAGCCTCAAAACATAACTAATGAACAGAGGAAATGTTAGTTTAGTGCCAGGAATGCCTACATTGTTCATTCTGGACCCTATTTTGAAATTGGAATATTTTGAACTTTGTGTTAAATTGGCCAAATTAACAATTTCCGATCACTTTATTTTGTAGTTGAAACAGTTGACTTGGCAATTTCTTGTGCTCAATCGATAGAATAGAAGTAATACTAGTGAAATAGCTAAGAATTTGGTTGACTGGAATAATGTAATTGGCCTAAAATGGGAGTCAAAGTCGGCAAAATCGCCGATTTGTAAATATCGCTGACACATCAAAATTCGCGAGAGCATAATTTCGTCAATTTTCCACCAAATTTCGTACTTTTTGTTTTATTACCTTCACAAAAAGATTCTCTACGATTTCATAAGAAAAAATAACAAATTTTTTTTTTGAAAATTCTTGGACACTGGTGCGTGACTCCAGATTTGGGCCTTGGACCCTGAAAGGGTTAAAAGGAGAAACTTTTGTTTTTCTTTTTGGGTCACCCTGCCTCAGTGGGAGGCGGCCAAAAAAAATTTAAGACAATCAGTCGCAATCCAAACCACATTTGGAAGTCATTCCAAATTGTGGCAAATTTTAATAAAAGGGTAACTCTCCCCATTTTAGGCAAAAAAAATTAATAAAATGGTAAACCTCCCCATTCTAGGACAAAAAAAAAAAAAAAAAGCTGCTAGGGTTACAGGCAGACAAATAAATACAGTGGTACCTCGAGTTTCGAACAGCTCCTAAGCCGAACAATTATGTAAGTGTATTTTTGTAAGTGCTTTTGTAAGTGTATTTTGGGAGTCTGAAACGGACTAATCTAATTTACATTAATCCTTATGGGCACTCGAACAGCCTTCTGGAACGAATTAAGTTCATAACTTGAGGTACCACTGTATAAATGTTTTTTCCTTATGGGGTACAAAATAATGTAGTTTACATGTACTACAACATTGATAGGCACAAAAGAAAGCCACTACTATGCAATGCATTTCGGACAAACTAATCCTAACACTCAAAGAATACTTAGAAATTAGACATAGACTATTAAGTAGGATTTCTTATGTAGGTAACTACAACCATATGTACAATAAGAATATAAGAAAGAAGGAACACTGCAACAGGCCTACTGACCCATGTGAAGCAGGTCCATGCCAGCCCCCCAGCCTAGAACAATGACCACCTAGTCAGGTCACTTCCACTTAAGGAAGGAGCACGGCACCAGATATGGTAGCCCAAGCTAGTCAGGTCCAACACACACCCACCCACACCCACTCGTGTATTTATCCAACCTATTTTTAAAACTACACAACGTCTTAGCGTCTATGACGGTACTTGGGAGTTTGTTCCACTCACCCACAACTCTATTACCAAACCAGTGTTTTCCTATATCCTTCCTGAATCTGAACTTTTCCAACTTGAAGCCATTGCTGCGAGTCCTGTCTTGGCTGGATATTTTCAGCATGTTATTTACATCCCCTTTATTTATTCCTGTTTTCCATTTATACACCTCAATCATATACCCCCTAATTCTATGCCTTTCTAGAGAGTGCAGATTCAGGGCCCTCAGTCTATCCTCATAGGGAAGATTTCTGATACATGGGATCAACTTTGTCATCCTCCTCTGTACATTTTCCAGTGCATTTATATCCATTCTGTAATATGGTGACCAGAGCTGTGCAGCATAATCTAAATGAGGCCTAACCAAGGATATATAGAGTTGAAGAACAACCTGAGGGCTTCTATTATTTATACTTCTTGATATGAAGCCAAGAATTCTGTTAGCTTTATTGCGAACACTTATGCACTGTTGTCTTGGTTTCAGATTACTGCTAACCAGAACTCCTAAATCCTTTTTGCAATCAGTAGTACAGCAGGGCCCCACTTATACGGTGGGTTAGGTTCCAGGCTGTCGCCGGAAAGCAGACATCGTCGGAAGGCAGAACGCCATTTTTTCCATTTATAAACACGCACAAATGCCAGACAACAAGTTTACACTAAATTATATTAAGTTAGTAATATAACTAGGCATTAAAAACAAAGTAAAATACATTCACAGTACATTCATTACTTATCTTAAAGTACAGTGGACCCCCGGTTTACGATCACCTCCCAATGCGACCAATTATGTAAGTGTATTTATGTAAGTGCGTTTGTACGTGTATGTTTGGGGGTCTGAAATGGACTAATCTAATTCACAATATTCCTTATGGGAACAAATTCGTTCAGTACTGGCACCTGAACATACCTCTGGAATGAAATAATATCATAAACCGGGGGTCCACTGTATTTGTAATCTTAATGTAGAGAGGTGAGTAGTACTTATTTGTAAGAAGTCAGGTGTAGGTAGCCCTGGCTCCCCGTCTCATACTTAACCCTTAAATGGTCCAAACGTATATATACGTTTTTTCAACATCTGAAAGTATGTAAAAAAATGTAGATCTTCTTTTTTGTTTTACATTTGAAAACGTGTAAAAGAAACTTTTATCTACATTTATTTTTTTTTGTTATATTTGAAATTTTTTTATTTTATTATCACACTGCCCGATTCCCACCAAGGCAGGGTGGCCCGAAAAAGAAAAACTTTCACCATCATTCACTCCATCACTGTCTTGCCAGAAGGGTGCTTTACACTACAGTTTTTAAACTGCAACATTAACATCCCTCCTTCAGAGTGCAGACACTGTACTTCCCATCTCCAGGACTCAAGTCCGGCCTGCCGGTTTCCCTGAACCCCTTCATAAATGTTACTTTGCTCACACTCCAACAGCACGTCAAGTATTAAAAACCATTTGTCTCCATTCACTCCTATCAAACACGCTCATGCATGCCTGCTGGAAGTCCAAGCCCCTCGCACACAAAACCTCCTTTACCCCTCCCTCCAACCTTTCCTAGGCCGACCCCTACCCCGCCTTCCTTCCACTACAGACTGATACACTCTTGAAGTCATTCTGTTTCGCTCCATTCTCTCTACATGTCCGAACCACCTCAACAACCCTTCCTCAGCCCTCTGGACAACAGTTTTGG